TCACCCCCCATACTGCCTCCATCCTTGTCCACAGCCTCGTCACCTCCCGTATTGATTACTGTAATTCTCTCCATTCTCCTCCATAAGCTCCAACTGGTTCAAAACACTGCTGCCCGTATTGTCACCAAAACCCCCTCATACCGTCACATCACCCCCATCCTACAGCAACTCCACTGGCTCCCAGTGAAGCAAAGAATCATCTTCAAACTCCTCCTGTACACCTTCAAGGCCATCCACAACCTCGCCCCTCCATATCTGTCTGACCTCCTTCACATCGCCACTTCAGCCCGCTCCCTCAGATCCCCCTCCTCCATCCACCTCACCATGCCCTTTGCCCGCCTCAGCACCATGGGGGGGCAGAGCTTTCAGCTGCTCTGCTCCCCAGCTCTGGAACTCTCTGCCACCTGACATTCGTAATATTGACTCTCTCCCCATCTTCAAATCCAGACTCAAAACCCATCTGTTCAAGATCGCCTACTCATTCTGACACTTTAAACTGCAATTCCACTGTCCTACATTTCATTTCTTTATTGTATGCTGTTTTTTTTTTTATCCATCGCGTTTTTAAAATGTTGATTGTTGTACAGTGTCCTTGTGTGTCTTGAAAGGCGCTAATAAATAAAATGTATTATTATGTGTTTCACTTCATGTGCGGGAACATGTCCCTGCCTTGGTCTCAATGTGTGTATTCATGTGTGTGTTAATGTGTCTGTTGTGTGTTTCCCTGCAGGCGGGGGAACCCCCTCCACTTGTGTTTGGAGCGTTACCGGAAGATTGAGCGTTTGTGGCGTCAGCATGGCGTGGCTGAGGTCATTGGTCATGCCCAGGAGGCCAATCAGACGCTGGTTGCTATCGACTGGCAGCACCTGTGATATTTGCGTCCGCCCATGCTGAGAACCGTGGCGGGTAATTGGCTGTTGATGTTGTCCTGCCCCTTTTTAAAAAAAAAAAAAAAAAAAAAAAAACTCCTCCTTGACTAATCAGCTTCGCGGCGCTGAGCTCAGATCAGCTTTCAGGGATTTTTTTTTTTACTTCTGGCTTTTTGGTTTCTGTTTAATGGAGGCTTCTTACCTTTGACCTGTTACCTGAGAGAGGCGATATTTAACTGACTCCACATTTAGTACTTCCCTCACACAGTCAAAAAGTTATTAAGTTTTTGTAAGAGTTTTAAATTAAAGTTTTTTTCTCCGATTTTGAGTTAAGTTGTTTTGAAATTATTTGTCAACCTTTGAAATCAGTTCCACTGAAATGAAAATGTAATGACAGGCCACTTCAACCTGTTCATCTTAACGTTCTAATCGATAGGTAAGGATTGGTAAAGGGGCCTGTTTGTGACCTTGGTGTCATCACGCTCATATCAGCAGCTCATTGGTATTGCAGTACTTCCAGAGACAAAATGTCAACCTGATAAATGAAAGACATACTACAAACATAAACAAGTCTGTAGATACTTTAGAAATATCTTACTACAGATGCTTCTGTTGAGATTCCTGACTTTTAAGCATTTTCAAGACAACAGATCAAGGAGTTCTGAGCATCTTCTGCAGTAACATTGCAAACATCAAAAAAGACCAGTGGAAACAGGAATATTACTTATCGTCATATGAATCTGTCTTATCGATCAGTTTGACAATATATCAAACCACATATCAGATGTGTGTGTGTTGTTTAGGAATGAACAGCAGATCAGATGTCAGCTTCAGTTTTTTTAAGTTTAGTTGGTTGTTTTAAGTTTCTATTTAAAGAGGTGTATGCTTTTTGTGTGATGTCACTTTCTGTTGAAATGGGTTGAATGTGTTTTTTATTTTATTTCTTTTAGTTTGTGATGTGAGATACCGACATCCTTAACAGACAGAAACAGAAATCTTCATTTATTTATTTATTTATTAGTCTGGAAATAAAAATCATGTTGTTTCTTTGAATAGGTGATACTTTAAATGATCATTTTATTTCTTGTTTCAGACTTTCTGTTAATTTGCATTGACGTTTAAAAAGGACTTTCCGATCAACAAACATGTTCACAGCATGTCGCCTTCTCACACTGCATCATCTGTAACAGCTAACTTGTTAAATATGTGAATTTTTGTAAAATGGACTTATGTACATTATTGTATAAGAATAACAAAACAAATAAAAACCTTAAAAGAAATGTATTGTTCTTTACTTATTAAGTTTTTACCTCAAAATGGTATAAAAAGATGGACGACATGATGGCTCTCCTGAAGTGAAGCCAAAATATTAAGCACTTCCTCTGCAAACTGGCAGCAGTATAGGTCAAAAGTTTAGTCTCAATGTTAACAAATGGGACACAGGTGAAACTATAAAATCAAAATACATGTACAAAAAATTTATTATAGCTGGTAATGATGATTTATTCCCAAGTGAGCAAGCAGTATCCTCCGATGTTGATATATGAAGCCATTTGGAAGGAAAAAACTGCCATCCTTCAGATGTCCACCTTGGGCAACTGGGGCTCAGTGGCAGTCGGTCGTCTCTCAACCAGATGGTCGAGGGTTCGATCCCCAGCTCCTGCAGCTAGATGTCCGATGTGTCCTTGGGTAAGACACTTGACCCCAAGTTGCTTCTGCTGCTTTGTCAGCAGCATGTAAATGTTTGTGAATGAGATTAGCTTGCTGTAATGGCCACTTTACATAGCAACCTGTGCCATCAGTGTGTAAATGTTGTAAAAGCACTTTGAGTAGTCAGAAGACTAGGAAAGCATTACACAAGCTCAAGTCCATTTACCCTTTCACTTGAGACAGGCTCCAAAAGACCCAAACACACCCCATGTTAAATGTCCATGTTTATAGCCTTATACCAAAACGATTTGGTCAGAATAGTTCATGTTTTTGACACACTGTATGGGGGTGCTGATCTCTACTGCACAGACTCTACAGCCAGTGGTTCACCTGCTGGAGCATGGTGGGTACACTGGGGCTAGGAGCTAAAGCCTCTTCACAAAGCTGCTCTGCCCTCTGTAGCCCCTGGGGGTGTGCTACAAGGAAAGATTAGAGGGTTAGCTGGGTCTGTTTAGCCGGCTCTCTTTTAACCTGGCTTGTAATTTATAGCACTTCCTATGTGGAGAAAGGACGGTGATGCTCAGAGCTTCAGGTTTAAATCAGCTTTAAAAGTGAATCCTTTCAATAATTCTATCCTGATGATGTCCTCTGTAGGTATATACAGACCCTTAATATGTGTAAAAAAACATTTGGAACCCTTAATGTTACGTTCATGAAGCCACAGAACGAAGCCATGCAGTTACAGAAGCACATACTGCATGCATCTCAACACACTATGCCTCCAGATAGTGATGAATACATCTATACCTCCAGTCTCTTTTTGTTTGCTTCAGGTAATATTCATCCTTCGTATTTCAGAAGATCATCCACACAGTAAATGAACGTCAAATCATTATGTTTTTATGTTAGATCCTAATGTCCATTTTACACAACTGTGCAGTAAAACGTACTTCTATACTTAACTTTGGCAAAAGTTCCCCCCCCCCCCGCGACCCCACATGGGAAACAATTATTTGCTAACCAACAATGCTTTGCTTGCTAAATCATGAATCCTACTCAGACTGTCTGTTCAAGGTGTGACATTTAGGCCCTGCGCCCCCGTGATGTCTCGGAGGTGTATTGATGGGACCAAGTCGTCCCATCTCTGTGCCGGCGTCGGTGCTAGTAACAGAGGCGTTACAGGGGTGAGACAGGATCACTGTGAGACCGTGGGGAACATTGCTACGTGTGTGTGCATGTCTGAGTGTGTGTGTATGTGGAGCCGTAAAGTAATCCACAGACTGGAACACCAGTATTACATCATTGCATAAACAATATGACAGTACAAAGCCGTTACAACACAAATGTTTGTACCTGGTTCATCAGACAATGCAGAGAGCAGCTTATCAGTAGCTATGCAAACAGGTTAATTTCTTCTGGAGACTAGATCATTATCTTGTGGGAACAAGATAAATGAGTCATGCCCAGATGATTTAATATGAACTATCCACATGAATAAAGCTTGTCAGGAGATAAACCTTTCCAAAGATTTGTGAGTTTATTAGTTGTCTTATTCAGGTGATCGTTGAAAACACACACTAAAAAACTCAACTTAAACATAAGAAAATACAAATTACGAGAAAATGTATGAAGTTCTGTGACAGGCAAAGTCATTTCAAATGTGTCTGTTTGAGTTGTCGTTACATTATATGCAGTGTTTTGTGATCTGGGGACTCCTTTCTGTTGATAATGTGTGAAGGTGTCTTTAGAGAGTCACTACAGTGTATTGATCAACAGCTCATCATGTGGAATCAGTCGGGGATCTTGGACATGACCAATGGAGCACCATGTGATTGGGTAGTCCATGTACAGGATATGATAACAGCCTACACTGCAGTGCTCTTGTTGATGTTTTTAGTATCTTATTTGCTGAGTGAACAAACCAACACTTTATCAGTTCTTGGGCTTCCTGTGGCCCACCTGTTGGGCACTGAGGTAGGTGATCGTCTCTCAGCAGAACTGAACTTTGAGCTGTGACAGGCAGAGTGGGTGAAAATGCTGCTTAACATCAAACCAATTAGCAGTAAGTCGGAGGATTAGAGGCAGCACCTGATCTGCTGTTAATTGGATCAGAGCTGATCGGAGGTTTGGGATGACAAGTCGCAGCTCACTCTCAGTTGAACCTTCTGCAAGAAAATATCAGCGCTGAGGAGCTGAGTAGGCTACTTAAACAAGTAGGCTTTATGTAACTTTTTTTTTTGTAATTTTATGGCAGACCCCTCTGCCCCCCCATCATTATGGACTGTCCTGACCTGCTGGGCAATATGGGTCTAAAATTAGGAGTTCTGGCGGAGTCGCATTCAACTGCTTCTTTCTGGAACCAATCAAAACTCTGAAACTTGAAGGGATTTTCACTTTGAAGGAGCCTGGTTTTCTTCTTAATACCTGTTTGAAGTGATTTTTGATTTTAGCTGAGTGCTTCTTTCACACCAAAAGTTAAAAATGCCATTCATGCCAGTGAAGTTTAACTCGCAAAAGCGGGTAAAGCTGGCTCAGGGCCTATGGCTGATCTACTGGCTCTCGGTCATTGTGGGGATCTTTATCTTCAGCCTCGGTATCTTTTTTAAGATCGAGCTGCGAAAGAGAAGCGAGATGATGGACAATAATGAGAGCCACTTAGTGCCCAACCTGTTGATCCTGGTTGGTTTGTTGGCCTGTGGGATCAACGCCTTTGGAGGAAAGGTGTGCCACGACTCTCTGGACCCTGTCAAATTTGCAAAATGGAAACCAATGTTGAAGCCATACCTGATGATGTGCTGCGGCTTCAACGGGCTGTTGCTGTTGACTGGGTTGCTCTGCTTCCTCATGCAGTTTGCCGTGTACCTGACACTGGCTGAGGGCCTGAAGAATAGCATCAAGTTCTATAAGGACACAGACACGCCAGGACGCTGCTTCATGAAGAGGACGCTTGACATGACACAGATCGAGTTCCGCTGCTGTGGCAACAACAACTTCAGGGACTGGTTCGAGGTGCAGTGGATCAGTAACCGCTACCTGGACATGAGCAATGATCTGGTCAAAGAGTGAGTACCCCTACACCAGCCGAACATTGAAACAGCTGAGACAGTTATTGCTAAGTTTATTGTAAGGAAATAACAAAACCAACAGTTCTGACAACTGATTAAGCAGAGTGTTATTTATCAACCTTCAACTCAGTCAATCCTCTAGTGTCAGTGGTTTTATTACAGAAATTGTGTACAAAAAATAGCTAAAGATGGACAGAAACTTATGATGTAAGATTAGTTTTCATCTGATCCAGATGTTGAGCTGTGCAGAACCTCCAATTGCTTTTTGTTTGAACTTTCCAAGAAAGTTATCCTTTTGACCTCATTTCTCTTAATTCTGCCTCTTTTTCTGTATCTTGAGGTCATCAAAAGCACAAACTGGGATTATCTCTTAGCTCCCTAATGAGAAAAGCCTTATTGAAACCTGCAGTATCTGAGTGCAGGGCGTTTTCAGCTGAATCACACTTTAAACCTTCAGAGCTCAGGGGGTCCAAAGAGAGAGTTTTGTTAAAATGGGTCAATGGAGGATATATGAGGGAATTAAGTGGGTAGAAGTGACCATGCAGGAGGTCGATGCACTAGCTTCCCCTCCTTAAGTCTATAATCTGTTAGGATCTTATCTCAACCGAGCTGCAGCTTACACACTCATTTACATGACAAGGTTAAACACATCATTGGTCTCTCACCATAAAAGCTCTTAAAATGTTGGACATATCGTGATCATTACAAACATGCAAAGGCAGAACTCGTCTGATTTGATCAATAACTATATTTAACTGATTGGTAGGGACCCGTAAGGCTCTGATTGCGTGTTTCCATGTTCTGTTTCTGTGCTAATGGACTTAAGAGATATTACTCTCTCTAGCTTTGAGATGATTATTTCCTGTCATCCAATCTTAACCCCCCTGTCAGCCACAGGCCACACCCACTGGTCAATTCTTTCAATCAGTCTTCACAGTGTCTTTTGACTTTATGTTATTTTGTTTGTGGTGAAAAAAATATATAGGTTTTCAGATTTGAATGTATTCAGATGAGGAATAACTTTACTCACACTGGAAACATATTAGTGTAAACTATGCCTGTGCTTTGGAGCAGTTCCCACTCTGACAGAGGAAATCAATAAATTCTAATGATTTAATGAGCTATCGTAGCTTGCTGCATTTTTAGCTCTCTTTAGATTCAGAAGTCAGCTCTGACAGGACAGTTTGTTGGAAGATGATGCTTTAGATGCTGTTATGATATTACTTTACATTTTATGTTTATTTTCTGGACTTCCTTCCTTTTCCTGCCTACTTTTTAATGGGCATGCCTCAGGGTTCTATACTGGGACTTTTACTATTTTCCATTAGTGTACATTAGCTTTGGTAATTTATGTTTAATGTAATACTAATGGTACTTTTTTTGTTTTCCAACATGAGCAGAGCAAACCTAGTAATTCTATTTATCTCATTTTAGTGTTAAGATAAGGTTAAGAGGTCACTAAAACAGAGCCTCAGTTCAAAGAGACATTTCTCATTTTTTGTTAGACAAAAATCCTCTTCTGATTGTCATTTAGCAAAAAGTTAACAGTCCCTTCAAACAGAGGCTCTGGCCCCAGCAGCCTGAGAGCTCAGGGGGCCCCAATAGTCCAACTGAGTTTTCATTCATACCTATGTGGTTATGAGACCCATTGTGTCTGTGTTTGTGACCTCAGACCTCACTGTTGAGTTAGTAAACATGAATTCTAAATGTCTGTTCTGCAGTCGCGTCCTCAGTAATGTGGAGCAGAAGTACCTGATGGACAGCGTACCGTTCAGCTGCTGTAATCCTGGTTCCCCACGGCCCTGCATCCAGCATCACCTGACCAATAACTCTGCCCACTATGACTATGACCACCGCATTGAGGAGCTCAACATCTGGACCCGCGGCTGCCGTGAAGCTCTCTTCTCCTACTTCAGCAGTATGATGTCAAGCATTGGAATATTAGTCTTAGGCACCATCATCCTAGAGGTAAGGGTCCATACTCAACTATTTTCATCCAATCAGCAGCAGCACCAGCCAAGTTTGTGACAACCAAAAAAATAATTCCTTATCCAGTGAACCCTGTTGCTTCCCTTTTTGGGGGGATTTTTGGATTGGCACAACTCTTTATATATTATGAAGCTACAACTAGCAGCTCTGAAGCTTAGCTTAAAGACTGGTAACAGAAACAAACAGTTTTCATGGCTCACTCTAAAGTTTATTAAGCCACCATACATCATCTGAATAATCCAAAAGAGACATTTTGTAGTTCAGAGGGTTATGTATATTATTATTTATTGTGAGGACAAGTAACTTCCTGGAGTTTCCAGAGCCAAGAAATAGCAATAACAAAACTGGTTTATACTTTTGTTCAGGTTAGCTGCATCAAACCTGCTGTAATTTTTAATCTGTGAGGAGTTTCTTTTGGAGGTTAACACAGGATATGTTCTCTTAATCTTCTGATTTAAAACAAGATAAACATAGCACACCTGCAGTAAATTAACCAAAGCAACCTTAAATGCTCCAGATTACCAACATAATTGATTAGCATGTGATAAGCATTAGTGTAGAAGGAGCAGCTCCTCTTGACAAACAAAACCAGAAAAAGGTTTAACAGACAAACAGACCCAACAAGGACAAAACAATTGTTTTAATGAATGTGGAAATTCGCTGACTTGATTACATTTGTAAAATATATTTATATCCCTCATATTCCATCATTCTGTTTACATCCATTGAAACCATCAAACCCAAAACCATCTTCAAGAAAATAAAAATCAAAGAATAAGAAGAATTGAGTTGTCCTTTGCATCCTTCAGCAGTTGATTAAGCAGTTTTTCAAGTTTGGGCAGAGTTGTGGTCACAAAAACACACAGTTGTATCCATTGTTTTGATTGATTCAAACTTAATTTGATCATCTATTAACTTCCTTTTATTCATTCATATTTATCCAGTTCAGTGTTAACATTGTGCAGCTCTGTTCATGTTCAGAATTAGTTTAATTAAGAAACATCACATTGTTTAGTACGTGGTTTCTATTAAGAAACATCAGCCAAATCAAAGTTCATCATGTTGGAGTTGACTCAGGATTCAGCGGTTGATCGGGTGCGGAGGCGCAGTGCGTTAAGCTAAAGATCGTTGGTTAGGCTCACTGAGGATCAGGAACTATTTTGGGGGGGGTTAATCTCCACACAGCAGCAGCAGGTTGCATCCTGGGAAGATCAGGATAAGGGACGGTTCCTGAGAGTGAAAAGCAATTTGTTATTAGGGTCAGAACAACAAGTTTGACCTGAAGTGTCACGGCAGGCGGTGGATTTAAAAACAACATCCTGAACTCAATCACACGGTTTGTGTGCTGTTTCTGTTCACAGAGAATATATATATTCCACATGATTAAGAAGTCATAACAAATGAAAAACATGTTATTAATTTAATATGATTTGGAGGAATTTGTTGGTCCTAATATTGTTGTGACAGGCAGAGCTTCTTCTTGGGATCATCCAGGGTCGCTGCCTCATTACCTTACAACATGCCTCTCTAAGAAAACTATATTGAAATGGAATATTATAGGTGATGGTCTTTCTTGTTGGTTGCTGTCCAACATCCATCACGACCTCTCATTTTTGTGCACATGTGTTTGTGTTTGTCAGTCTGCAGACATGGCAGGGTTAAAATACCTCACTACAGCTCTGGAGACAATGGAGGACCCAGAGAACCCTGAGTGTGAGAGTGAGGGCTGGCTGCTCGAGAAAGGCGTGAAGGAGACATTCGGCGATCTGCTAACAAAGATGAAGACTCTGGGTAAGGGGAACCAGGTGGATGAGGGAGGAGACGCACAGGAGGCTGCCACCTGAGAGCCCTGCCTGCCACAAAAGACTGAGGTCGCCCCCTTCTCCCCCACCTCTGCATGCCTCTCCCATTGATAACAGGGAGCAAGAGAGTAGAGGTCTCCTCAACCATCTGTTCCTATGCCATCATACATGAGTTAAAATACCACAAAACACACACACACACACACACACACAAACACAAACTAATTCAAAGTGAACAAGCTGTTTAAAGTAACTGTGAATGTTAACCATTCTGTAAATATGTTGAACAGAGTTTATTTTTAAACCGGAGGAGCAGAAACCTGCTGTTGTAAATAAAAACGCCTGGGTTTTAAAATTATTACTAAATACAAAAATTAAATCATCCCCCCCCTTCCCCCTCCTGAACCAGAGGTTGCTTCCAGTCAGACACCAACAGGCCTGAACAATCAAAACCCTTTTTTACTGAAGCCCGACCGATTTACCACACTACTGATCTGTGATCAGAAAACAGCTTGTCGCACAGATAACAAAGATGTCTGAGATTGAGCAGAAACTTTAACACTTCCAGTTTGTCCTGTAGACCGCAAAGTACAGGTATTATTAAACTACTGATTGAATATGAAATATAAACAAGGAAAGACTCCTGCCAAACATATGTATTTATGTGAAATAAAGTCAACTTTATAATCAGCTATTTTTATGTCCCAATTTTGTTATCTGTGTGTCAGACACATACGATCGGTCGGACTCTGGTCTTTACTGTCTGACCTCTGACACGACATTGAAACAGACGGCCAAACATCTGGATAAATAAGGAGGGCTTGGTGAAAGCAGGTACATTCAGAGGCATTTGCAGAGGTAAATAGAGAGGTATTAACACCGAGGTAAATACATAGGGAAATGCAGTTATATCCAGAGATAAAAACAGAGGTATAAACAGATAAAGCTAGGTAACTATAGGTATAAAGCTGTAGACAGGTTCTATGCTGGCAGGTATATACTAAGAAGGAAGGTTCATTCAGCTTCATAAGTCTTCATTCAAAACATTTCAATTCTTTTTATTGAAAAATCATCATAAAGACTTCACTTGTTTGCTGATAAAGTGTGCCGTGTGAACAACTACGGCTTCAGTTTCTTCCGTCAAAGGAATGCTAACATCTGCTGCTGTGAGCGTGTGATTAGTGGAGCGTGTTGGACTGAGCATGGCAGACTGAGTTCAGGGTGAGAATGTCCTGTTGTGGCCGTCTGGTTCCCTGTCAGAGTGACGCTGGTTCAGACTGCAACAGGAACTTTTTTTATACTCTAACAATGCAGCCAAACCAACACATAAGCTTTAATGGGGAGTTCATTTGAAACTGTACATTAATATTCAGCGTTTAACAAACAGGAAGCTGCATCAAAGAGAGTGTGTGGATCTGGTCTGTGTTCAGTTCTACAGATGTAACTTCAGATAAGCTGTATAGAGATTTAAGAGTATTCCAGTTTTCAGTGACAGGTTGTAATATTTGTATGTCTGTTTTTTTTTCTTTTTTTCCTTGTAATATGGACAGTTGTTACATTTGCAGCCAGTTGTTGTGGGTTGGTTGGAGCTTGTAGTTGCTCCGTTGTGTATGAAAGTATTATAAAGAGATTGTGAATGACTCCAAACTGTCCGACTCATCTTTTAAAAAACTCATGAGTACTATCTCTCGACATGTGATTACAACCATTTGCAGGTGTATACACGTGTATATAAGGTCATAATGAAGAGCTTAGAAAGGTACTGAAACATGTATAGGTGTAAATACCGGTTAAGAACAGGTATACATGGACTACCTTGTATGTAATGAAGTGAAGGATGTAAAGGTTCATACGTAGGTATATACAGGTGTATACACAGGTATGTATTGGGTTGTACATAGTTGTACCGAGAGGTAAAAACTCTGTGTTAATAGTATATGTATATACAATAAAGACAAAACTTTTAAAAATGAATAAAACACAAACAGAGTTTGGTTTTGTGTCATTTCTATCTTAGTGTTGGGGAAACTCAGCCAACATTTGTAAAATGTGTTTAAAAAAAATACTACTAAATAATACTTTGTAGCAGACAAAAACCAACAGGTATCATAGATCAGCTCAGCATCTGGAAAGTTAACAACCAAGTATGGCAGTGGTGATGTTAATATGTGAAGGGGGAAATACTAAAGTCAACCATCTATCAGATTTTCTAATTATCCAGGTTTTAAAATGTTTAACATTACATCATCACATGTTTTAAAAACTGAATGACAGTGTCTCAGTATGTTTCAGAGGGCCATTGTTCCACTGTGTCTCACTTTCTCTGTGATTTACAGCGTGTGCAGGTGGTTAACAACGTTTGAGCAGATAAACATTAAATCAGCTTAAAGGAACAGATTAACTGCTGATGTCAGCTCAGGGCCAAGGACAGCAGCCGTGACGCAGAGGGACACCCCGGGGGCCATGGGGTGGGGGTCCTTTGAAGGACAAGTTCAAGACAGATAGATAGATAGATAGATAGATAGATAGATAGATAGATAGACAGATAGATAGATAGATAGATAGATAGATAGATAGATAGATAGACAGATAGACAGATAGATAGATAGATAGATAGAATGGCAGCCATATATAACAAACAAAAAAATACTGTTTTGATTTAGTACATCACACAGAGGAATAAGTCATTCATTTTGTTCTGTTTCCTGGTTTATATGATGTCATTTCTTTCTTTACCTAACATTGTAATATGCCTACTCATTTATTTTTTCCTTATTATTTCCTCCACCCCCTGAACTTAAGATGTGAAACCTTGGGGCGCGCTGGTGGCGCAATGGTTAGGGCGCGCGTCCCATGTATTGAGACTCTCATCTCAAGCAGTAGGCCCAGGTTCACTTCCACCCGTGGCCCCCTTCCGCATGTCGTTCCCCACTCTCTCTCCCTGGTTTCCAACTCTATCCACTGTTCTATCTCTGCATTAAAGGCACAAAAAGCCCAAAAACAATAATCTAAAAAAAAAAAGAAAAAAGATGTGAAACCTGGTCTCTCCTGTCATAGTATGAAATGTACTATGTTCAACATCCACCATGAGCTCTGACTTCTGTGAGTGTGTGTGTGTGTATTCTTAGCCGCAGCTGTGATGAGATTAGGGTGAACCTGAGGAGAGCTAATTCCTTCAAAGGCCGCACGCAATACACACACACTTATTCAAAAGCAGTGTCAAATTGTGAGCCAATTAAGGAAGAACAGGTCAGAGGAATGAGGCGAGGTCAACTCATGTTCTTTTTTTTTTTACTGCAAGGGTTTTTATTTCACAGTCTGTGTTACAATGCCACATTGAAGTACTGTCATTCATAACAAGATGCTGATAAGGATTATTGTACTGTAGGAAACTCTTGGATCGAGTAAGGATGGAACAGAGAAGACAAAGGGTTAAATGTTCCTGGAAATTGTAAGACAGTGAAAGGCTGACTCTGTTAAAGAAATAGGATGATCTGGCTTATCTAGCACTTCGCCTGCTGACAGTCCAGATGTACTATGAATTGTTATCAGTCCAAATTAAGAAAGTTTCATCTGCCAACGACGTCCCTCCCCTCCAGAGTCCTAAACTGTCAGCAGCTCTCCGTCCACCACTTTGAGATTCTTCTAGGGAGGAGGGACAAGGGCCTGCTGTTTGGAGTTGCAGGGAAAGGAAGGTGCAGAACCACGCTCAGGGTGGGAAGTATCAGCAGTGTTAAGTAAATCGATTTTTTGAATGCTAGATGCAATAATAAACACTCTCGTAATATGTTTTGTGAAAAGAGAAGAGTTACCCCTAAAGGAAAAGCTTTCTGCATGGAACAACATTTTTATAGATACAGACTGATAACAGGCATTACCTTTGAATTATGTAAGAGAATTACATGTCACATTTTTGCCCAACATATATCCAAGTAACCTATATCTCACCAAATCCTTTGATATAGACTGCAAATGTACTTTCTGCAATAATTAAACAAAATCTTTAGTACACACCGGTAGTGCAGTGGTTAGTGCACATGCACCATGTACAGAGGCTTCAGTACTTCAAGCAGACTCGAACCCGACCTGTGGCTCCTCTCCTGCATGTCATTCCCCACTTTCTCTCTCTTCCTGAACTAGATTTCTATCCACTGTCCTATCTCTAAATAAAGGCACAAAAAAGTACCAAAAGTAAATCTTAAAAAAAATCAGGGGGCCATGCTGGAAAGTCTAACTTTCAGTCAACCTTGGTGAGAAACCTAATCGCCATTCCCTTCGATCAAATCGACAATGGGCTGGGAAATATGTCATAATCCCAAGAAGGAAACAGCTACAACTATATTAATGCTTATATCAACAATGTTGGAGGTATAAGACTCTTATCTTTCTCCCAATAGCGTAGGCTGTAGAAACTAATCATTGACTAGCTAACATGAAGTAAAAATGAACAGTAATATCAGCATGAGCTCAACTAAAGTAATACAATTATCAATGTGCTTATACAAACGTGAAAAGGAATCTAATGTCATTCTTTCACTGATAATTTAGTGATACAGTAACATGAAAATAACAGCTTCTCAGTTAACGTTATGTTGTGATCACATCATTTCTATGGCTTTGTGTTAAAGAGGAGCCTTCATTTCTAGAATCAAAAATTACATTCCTATCGTGTCCTTGACTCAGAAAGGGAAATGATAGCTAGGGTGGCTAAAAAATAATGTTTGCTGTGTCCTGATAGCAATAAAGTTTGAAATGTGGCCTGATGTCTGTTTTTTTATTTGTAGTTGCTTTTCAACCCTGTGAAATATTTTTTTTAAATCATATTCTTGAAGTTTATAGGACTTCCAATCTGCAACAAAGAGCCTTTGAGTTTCCCACTTGGAGCATGATGTCACAGGAAATTGATGGCCTGAGAGTATGGGCTTTGGGGCTTGTTTCCAGCCACCAATTAGTCTTCCAGGAGCAGCCATTTTAACTCCATAATGAATTGTTTACAGGCACCTTAGAACATGTGGATTAATGCCAAGGTAGAGCCCTCTCTCAACCTCTGGAGAGCCTGCTTAGCCTTGGTAGATCCTGTAACTCCATATAAGGAAGGAGGGAGGGTGGAGGTAAGCACAAGCAGGACTTCAAGTGTTCCAAAGTTCTTGGTAAAATGTCTTTAGAGGTTAGCTAAACCCAGAAAAAATTTAAATTAGCAACAGGAATACAACAGTACAGGTATGTTTATGTTCCGGAAAATAGATCATCCAGTACAAAACTCCTTCACAGACCAAACACTTCTCTTTACCTCGAGGATCTGTGATCTTATTGTAAGAGGGGAGGAAGTAGTTTGTCAAAGACAAAGCAATTTGTTGTTCCCTAGATATGCTAATTGAAGATTAGCATTGTGCTTGACTTAAATCAATCTAGAGACTGATAAAGCCCCAAAGCCATTTTGTTCTTGTAAGACATTATAGGAGGGGTTCCCAAACATTTTCCCTGGAGCCCCCTGCTTGTATCCAAGAAAGGAATGATAAATTAACTTTTCTAGTCTTCTGAATACAAGAAGCATTTTAACACCGCAGTTCTCACCTACTCGTTCACAGAGAGAAAGAGGTTTCTTTGTAAAGTGTCCATCAGTTCTAACTAATTCATACGTCGCTGATGAAGCAGCAGGAGCAACTTGGGGTTAAGTGTCTTAGGGACACATCAGACATGTGGCTGCAGGAGCTGGAGATCGAACCCCTGATCTTTCAGTTGAGATATCAATCAATAAATCAACTTTTATTTGTATAGTGTCAACTGATAACAAGTGTTATCTCGAGACACTTTACAAAAAGCAGGTAAAATACCTTACTCTTTGTCTGTTAACATTACAAAAGAGCAGGTAAAAGACCTTACTTATTGCTATGTTACAAAGATCCGGCCTATCCATCATGAGCACTTTAGCAAAGCAGTAAAAGTTAGTGGTAAGAAAAAACTGCCTTATTAAAAGGCAGAAATCTTCGGCTTGGAAAGATATGACCAAATGCACCACTGAGCAACCCAGGGAACCCACATGAATAAAAGTTGTTACATTACTGTCAAAAATGATCAATTTAAATTATTTTAAGTCCCCACAGAATTGGCCTCCACAAACTTTTGTGGGGACATAGATAGCTGAGTGTCTGCCAACTGAAGATCTCAAGTACTCAGCTCACCCTGCTGTAGCATGGTTATCAGCTCTACTGTTAAAAGGAAGATGATATAGGCTAAGATGAAGTCTGAAATAAGGAACTGTGCAGCTTCTGTGAAGACAACACAAAACCAGGAAGGAACTGCAGTTCCTGGGGGTTACTGGAAAAGTGAGGAACATACTGCATGACAAGGGGGGTGGGACTGAGGACAGATATAAACAGAAAATAAAAAACACTTCCAATAAAAATGAGATTGTTTAACAAATACAGACTCTTAAGATGTTTTTTTTCATAGATAAGTTTATTCTTAAGTTGAAGTGTGTTTAACAAATTGGGCATTTCCCAAAAAAACACTGAAACAAACACTAACAAACACTAACTGGTTTTGACCACTAAGGACTTTGTTGGGAAGAAGGCAAGATGCCATGAAAGCTGAGGTTCCCAACAAATAGCCCAATGTCTGAATTAAAGCAGCATATAAATAAATTACACAAGATGGGACGTGATATCTAAAAGGGTGATGAGATTCATGTTATTGAACACATGACAAACAGTTAAAAAGAACAATGTGTAGCTTTAATTAGTCAATATTAAAATCAGAGAGAATAAAAGATCACATCATGTTATAGCTGATAATGATGAATATGGTTATCACAATATATAAAATAAGACAGTAAAGGAGGTATTTTTGTGGACCCTGACAGTATTATAGAAATGTCAAAAATTATCAGCCTACTCATCATATTACTGCTTTAAATTTAAATATCCAGCAAGTCTCACGCTCGAGTAGTTTCCAACATTTCTCCTAAAAGACTTTTGCTTAAAGTTTTAACTTTAAATCTTACTGAGAAGGTTTTTCACAAACAACTTTTTCAACGCAACGTTAAGTTTTAGGTTCAGTCGATTAAAAAATTGGGGAAAAAAATTCAATCACCTTCCCTAAAACTGTTTTTTTTTAGAAGAAATTGAAAACGAGCAGCCACAGTTCATCCCTTTTACCCACTAACTGTTTACACCTTAATAAAAGACCAAGGTTAATACAGAATGTACGCAGGTATGTACAGTATCTCCAGGGTTTTTTGTTCCCTTTTAAATTTAATGACCATATATATATTGTAACAAGTTTGACAAAGTTTAATTTGGGGTGCCAGTCAGAGTCAAGTCTGACAAATAAAAATTAAATGCAAACAAAACATAGTCAACCTGCACAAAATATGACATACGCAGGAGCCACAAAACAATCAAACAAAACAGCAAGGCAATTTCAATAAAATGTATTTTCGCAATTTATATCAACCACACTGCAAACTAAATGAAAGTGCACAATGTGTGTGCGCGTTTCACAGTCTCTGTTTGTAAGCCAAGTCCCTTCCGGCAAAAGTCTGCTCCGGTGTACCCACAACCCACAGTTCAGTCCATTTCAGTTCAATGTTCAAACTACAAAACAAAAGCTCTGCTCCGGGTTTTACCGCGGGCCTCGAAAACAAATATATATACATATAAATATATAAATACAAGTTGTTGTCTGACACAGATCCTCCCTCCTAGAGAGAACACAGAGATGCTGAAGAACCAAATCTGTTCGGCCAGAAACCCAACCCAAACCCAGGATACAGAGGTTCAGTGAAGGTGGTGTTGGACGTGTGGAGGTTGATCAGTTTATCAGATGAGACTTCGTAGAAGGACAGAGTGCCAGCAGGACAGTCCACATACACTGCTACTCTGTTAGAGAGGAGGGAGGAGGAGGAGGAGGAGGAGGAGGTAATGTATATGGCTTTGTTATTGTGCCAGAGACAGTAACCGTCTTCGGAGCACTCCAGACTCCAGGACTGATCATTCCTCCCGAACCTGCTGTCATATCTGTCTCCTCTCCTGCTGATTCCTCTGTAGCTCACTGATACATACACCAGTCCACTCCACTCCACCTCCCAGTAACAACGTTCAGTCAGGCCAGTTTGACACAGCAACTGAGGACACTTGTCAAATCTATTGGGATGATCAGGATAAGACTGATCCTCCATCACATATGTCCCCCTTCTGTTTCCGTCAGCTAGTTCGATGTTTCCGTTTACAGTGTTCGTGTCAAAAGTGAGTTCACAGGAATCTGATGGATACAATGAGAAGGAGCTGCAGTTATTGATCGCTCATCTGATCACAGTCTGACACCCTCATGACATCAGAAAGATGAATAAGTGAAGTCACAGATTGAAAGTGGTTGAATGCTATTTTTATGAATAAATCAAAACACACTCACACTTCCTCAGACCTGGTGTCAACCACTGAACTCCACCAGGCTCCAACCTGAAAGGAGCATGAGGTCAGTCCAGCATTAACCCTTTCAGCATCAGATTATCTTATCACATTATGCACAGTGGCTGGTTATTCTCTGCAAGTAAATGAACATCTTCACATGTAGCACAATCAATGAGCTGTTGCTCGTTTAGTGAAGGGGAATTCCTTAAAATTGGAAGATGATTGCATTATTATCAACAATTTATATCTAAGAATAATTGAAAATGTTATAGTTGTGAAAGTACATATAATGCAACCACTAATCACATCCTGTCTCCAAGCAACAGACAGTGAAACCATTTACACAAAGACCTTTTTTTCCACTATAGTCACAAATGTCACATTTTTTAAGGGTTATTTTACATTATACAGTATGTTACACATTGACGTATTGTCATTTATAACATGTTACTGAGAACCTTGTTTTAGGTTTGCCATACCTAAGAGTGTTAAGTCTCCACTCTGGCTTCTCCAGTCCAGCAGAAAGCACCTTCACTCCAGACTCTCCTGGATGATTGAAGCTCAGGTCCAGCTTTCTCAGATAGTAAGGATTGAAGCTCAGAGCTGAGGCCAGAGAAGCAGAGCCTACTTCTGTGATCAGACAGCCTGACAGCCTGCAAATATACAGAACATCAGCTGAGGGTACTGTGAGTGTTTTTAAGTTGACAGAAGTATTGCAATACCCTCAAAGGTTAAACTAAAGCTCCTGTGAGGAGTAAAAAGCTGGCTATGAAACAGATCGAAATGAATGTAGTCTTTATGGGTCTTTATGACCTTCAAAAGCAAACAAAAATCATAAGGAAGATGTAAATTCTGTTATTTGTACAGTCTAAAACTGCTGCTGGATGGTAGGTGTCACATGAAGTGATTAACTGCGTGACGCTGAAACATTTTATTTTTTTGTAGTTTCCATGGCAATGATTCTTGATAAGTGAAATACTTGAAGAAAGCAGAATGAGATTTTTGTACAAAAATAACCCAAAAATAACAACACTACTGGTAGCTCTCTGATCCTTATGAGACGTGTTGATAGACAGAAAGACACCTAAAATGTGTATCCATTACTGTAAATCATTCAGTTGAATTCATCAGTTGCAAAAGGGTCTACAGATTCTGACCTGAGAGTTTCCAGAGTGCATTGTGGACTCTTGAGTGCTTCAGAAAGCAGCTTGACTCCTGAATCCTGAAGGTCGTTGTTACTCAGGTCCAGGTCTCTCAGACTACAAGACGGGCAGCTCAGAACTAAAGACAGAGCCTTAAAGCTTTTCTCTGAGAGGTTGCAGCCACTCAGCCTAAAGAGACAATGATGAGAGGAGTGAATATTTTTGACATCTTTTAACAGTGACAGTGTATTTACTATTCCTCATGTTGTGCTTACTGAGCTTTGTTGGAGACTTTGACCACTGGCAGCAGCCTCAGAAGAGCCTCCTCTGAGGCAGAGTATTTCTTCAGGTCAAACACATCCAGGTCTTTTTCAGATGAAAGTAAGATGAAGACCAGAGCTGACCAGTGAGCAGGTGAAAGTTCATTGGCAGAAAGTCTTTCTGATCTCAGGCACTGTTGGATCTCCTCCACTAGTGAACGATCATTCAGTTCGTTCAGACAGTGGAACAGATTGATGCTCTTCTCAGAAGAGAGATCTTCACTGATCTTCATCTTGATGTACTCGACTGTTTCCTGATTTATCTGAGAACTACTTTCAGTCGTTACCAGCAGGCCTTGCAGGAGAGTCTGGTTGGTCTGCAGAGAAAGGCCCACAAGGAAGCGGAGGAACAAGTCCAAGTGTCCATTTTGGCTCTTTGAAGCTTTATCCACAGCACTCTGGTAGAACTGTGTCATTGCACCTTTGTGTTTCTTCATTTGAGAATTATTGGATGTTGTTTGTCCTTCAGCTAGCAGATTGACTCCAGAGTTAATGAAGGTCAGATGGACATGAAGAGCAGCCAGAAACTCCTGAACGCTCAGATGGACAAAGCAGAACACCTTATCTTGGTACAGTCCTTTCTCCTCTTTAAAGATCTGTGTGAACACTCCTGAGGTCAAGGGGGCTGCTCTGATATCGATGCCGCACTCTGTCAGGTCTGAGTCATAGAAGATCAGGTTTCCTTTCTGCAGCTGCTCGAAAGCCAGTTTTCCCAGAGACTCAATCATCTTCCTGCTCTCTGGACTCCAGTGTGGATCTGTGTCAGCTCCTCCATTAAACTTCATGTTCTTCCGTTTGGTCTGAACCACCAGGAAGAGGATGTACATCTCAGTCAGGGTCTTGGGCAGATCTCCTCCTGCTCTGGTTTTAAACACATCCTCAGAAACTGTAGCAGTGATCCAGCAGAAGACCGGAATGTGGCACATGATGTTTAGGATTGGTGATGTCTTGATTTGGGAGATAGTTCTGCTGGCTTGTTTCTTGTCACTGAATTTCTTCCTGAAGTACTCCTCCTTCTGTGGATCAGTGAACCCTCTGACCTCTGTCACCCTATCAATATACTCAGGAGGGATCTGATTGGCTGCTGCAGGTCGTGTGGTTATCCAGAGGCGAGCAGAGGGAAGCAGTTTCCCCCTGATGAGGTTAGTCAGCAGCACATCCACTGACGTGGAATCTGTGACATCAGTCAGGGTCTGGTTGTTTTTAAAGTCCAGAGGAAGTCGACACTCATCCAGACCGTCAAAGATGAATAAAACCTTGTATTCTTCAAACCTCCAGATTCCTGCTTCTTTGGTTTCAGTAAAGAAGTGATGAACAAGTTCAACCAAGCTGAACTTTTTGTCTTTCAGCACATTCAGCTCTCTGAAAGTGAATGGAAACACAAACTTTATGTCCAGGTTGGCTTTATCTTCAGCCCAGTCCAGAGTGAACTTCTGGGTTAAGACTGTTTTCCCGATGCCAGCCACTCCCTTTGTCATCACTGTTCTGATTGGCACATCTCTTCCAGGGGAGGGTTTAAAGATGTCTTCTTGTCTTATTGTTGTTTCTGGTTTGCATTGCTTTCTGAATGCTGTTTCAATCAGTCTGACCTCATGTTCTTCATCAATCCCCCCCTCTGTGATGTAGAGCTCTGTGTAGATCTGGTTTAGAAAGGTTTGGTTTCCTGCTTTAACGATCCCCTCAAAAACACGCTGGAACATCTCCTTCAGGTAAGATTTCAGTCTACGCTGTGCGCAAACTTGAACAGGATACCCTGAAAGAACACAAAGGAACTTTTATTTACTTGATAAATGAGTATAAGAACATATATTTTTGAGATATTTTGAGATTTCTGTGAATATGTTTTGTTTATCCAGCATGTTGAAAATGAAAAGAACTCGTCTTACTGCACTGCAGACAGTCAGCCAGCTCCTCCTGCTTCATTTTTCTCAGGAAGTACAATGTGATCTTTAGAACGGCATCTCTGCTGCCGCTCTTCTGTGCTGCATCCTCCTCATACCTCTGGCTCTCTAAGCACTGTGAGAAGTCTGAACTCAGGACCTTTTGGATCTTCTTCAGCTCGTCCTTTACAAAAGCGACAATATCATCCTCCAGGGCCTGAAATAGAAAATGACAACGGAAGACACAATCAAACTACAAATTATTGAAACAACAGCTCCTTAAAAGGTTGCAGGGAAGGGATAATTGTGGCACACCAACATGTAAATGTACGGTAGTTGCTGAAGATGTACAGACCATGAATATGGAGTCGAGGTGTGATTGATGCTGCTGCGCAGACTGACCTCCAGGAGCTTCTGCGCTATGCTCATCGTTTCTGTGGAATAATCACAAAGAAAAATCTCATCTTGTTTGTGTCCACAAAGAGAAAAACACAAGATAAACTTCCAAAAGTTACTATTTCAATGTCAATGGCAAATTAGATTAAATTGTGTAGTATTGTGAAGCCGACAGAGAATAAACAGCTCAGTCTGCAGGTGTTTGACAACTCAAAGCGCTTTCACACTGCAGGTCACACCTACCCACCCTGATGGCAGAGGCTGCTGCTGTATGTAAAGTGTTTATCAGTATGAACTCATTCAATTCATTCACACGCCGCTGACGAAGCAGCGGATGCAACTTGGGGTTCGGTGTCTTGCCCAAAAACATATCAGACATGTTGCTGCAGGAGCCAGGGACCGAGCCCTCGAACTTCCAGTTGAGAGGCAACCGACTCTACCACTGAGCCACAGCCGCAAAGTGTTTTAAATCATTAGTGATCTTCGCTTAGTTCCAACAGCTCCCCGGCCCCCACAGCATTTCCTCTGTCACTGTAAAGTACTTAAGTGCCCAAGGGCAAGGCACCTAGAACCCCCAGCTACTCTAGTGGACCTGCTCAGACTTTAGAGGACTGGGCAGCTCCAACATTGTCAGGTTGGTAGAGGTAGGTGTGAGGCAGCAAAGAAAAGGGACAAAGTGCAGACAGTAAGTAACAGAGGAACAGTCAGATCTGCTGACAAAGGGGTGGCAGCACATTGATCTTTCCAGTCAGTCCTGACTTCACTACTTCTCCATTCCTTTCACTGGTCACTTCTCATGACACTAAGAGGAAGAAATGATTAAGGTATTTTGACCAAAGTTCATGTGAGGGGCCGCACCTTTACATTGTTCATTTTACTTTTTCACATTTTATTCTCACAGCACTGATCAGATCCGAAAATATATCAGTTAAAAAAGCTTGGATGACTCAATATATGGACACTCTGCCATTACGCTTTGTACAGTAATTAAATGCCTATCTTTACTGCAGATCACAGCTTAACACCACTTAACAGTTCTCTCTCAGCATTTTTTTGTCCCTTTTCATTAAAACAGGTGATTTCAATGCTGACTGTCTTTATGAGTGGATATCTGATCATGTGCCACTGCAGGTACAAACACCTCTGATGACTGAAATGGTATGAAAATATACTATTTATTAGAACTTCATTGAACCTCACTTGAATTTTTTTCCCCAAACTATTCTTTTAATATATAATAATTTTAGGAGGATTCATTGACCTTCTCACGTAGTACTCCGACTATTTCTAAGGAGTTAAAAACAAAACGATTTCTCTCAATGACAGACAGCTTTCAACAACAAAGAAACAGTTTGTTATGTCAAGATATTTTTTCACTCATACTATCAGATACAACTTACAGCGGACCAGCAGATGGAGGTTCTCCTTTAAACGTTTCCTTTGATCGGCTGGTTTTAATGGACAGACCAGTGGGTTCAGAAGTGTCTGGTCTCTGCTGGAGGAGCCTGAAAACATAAGCAGCTCAGATAAACATGCAGTTTGGACAGAAAACTGATCTTACCTTTAATTGATGACTAGATCTCTTTTTCCATTTTTTTTAAATCATTACCTTTCATAGTCAGGATGTTTAAACGTAAGAGGAACATCCATTGACGTAAAGGACAAACAACTGGGTTCACAGCCGTGCAGCATCGGATCAATTCTGTAAGAAAGAAAGAGACTAAAGTTTAAATAAATCACAGAACTTCTCGTTGAATTGAAGACTTATATGTTAAATTTAAACATTTTGAATACTACAAAGCCCTTGAGGTCCACTAAGGTGATCATTTTTATCTTGTAAATATATCAATGATTCCACTTACCATCAGTTGCCATCAATCGTCATTTTCCCCATTATTTACAAGTATTCTACTATTTTAACAGTTATTTTAACATTTAACAGATTTAATCTTTAATTGCTTACAATTTTGTAAACATTGCAGATAAAGTCGGCCCTAGTGTTGATCAGAATTACATCAGACACACTGATTGAGACTATTAGCTCTCCATGCATTCAAATTTCTTGCATCTTTATAAATTGACGACTTTTTCTCCAAGTACAGGTATTCCAATTGTCTATGACCAATTATCAAGACCATTGAAACCTGTTAAAAATGAAGATGGGGTTGAAATGGCTGCCTTGAGAATAAAAGATGACCAAATATGTGAACCAGTCACAACTTCTATTGCAACAGGAACTCAACACAGAAGATGCCAGAAGAAACAGCTGGAGAAGCTAGCAAGCAATTGTGCATTTTGTGCCTGGGATATTGACCTGACTTGGGCATGTACTTGACTTTTAAATTAGGTAAGTGCTACTTGTTGGGACGGTTTCAATGGCAAATAAGACAGACTGTACATGAATACAGTACTATATTAAACCACATTCAGATCACCTCAAATGGAGACACTGATGATTCTTATGTTTGATTATCCAACCCAAGAATTGCCACCTTAACGTGGTGGATGGGGTTTGCGTGTCCTGGTGAACCCGGGAGCTGTGTTGTTGGGGACCCTAGCCCCTGGTAGAGTCTCCCAAGGCAAAGTGGTCCCAGGGGAGGGACTAGACTATGAGTGGTTCAACAAAACCCCTATGAAGCGGCAAAAATGTGAACCAGTCACCTCGTCCGGAAGAGGGAAACCCAGGCACCCCTCCTGGAGCCAGACAGGGGGGGAGCTCCAAAGTAGATAGTGAATGGACTTGAGCTTGAATAGTTCTTTTCGAGTCCTCAGACTAATCAAAACAATTTTACACTGCAGGTCACACCTACACATTCACACACTGATGGTAGAGGCTGCTGTCAAGTGAGACCATCAGAAGTAACTAATCCCATTCATACACATTCATACATTGCCAACGAAGCAGCAGGAGCAACTTGGGGTTAAGTGACTTGCCCAAGGACACATTGGACATGTGGCTGCAGGAGCTGGGGATCAAACCCTTGACCTTCCGGTTGAGAGACGACTCTACCAACTAAACCGCCCCTAAAGGGGGGCATCTGGCGGCAGGGCTCTCCTACATGGGGCCTGGTCGGGCTCAGCCCTAAACAAAAACATGGAGCCGCCGCCCTGTAGGGTCAGGTACATGCCTCATCCTTAGAGATAGGGTGAGGAGGTCAGACATTCGAGGCCACTCCTTCACATCAAAAGGAGTCAGTTAAGGTGGTTCGGGCATCTAATTAGGATGCCTCCTAGATGCCTCCCTTTAGAGGTTTATGGGCACGTCAAACTGGGAGGAGACCCCGAGGAGACCCAGAGTTCACTGGAGGGACTATATATCCCGTCTGGCATGGGAATACTTAGGAATGAACAGCTGGAAAAGAGAGAGGGAAGTCTAGGTTGGCGGTGCGCTGCCACTGCGACACAAACTCGAGCCAAGTGGAAGAAAAAGGATGGATGGATGGTATGACATCGTTCATACTAGTAACTGTCTAGCAGGCGCCCACACGTACTCTCATATGTGGTAGTCAATATACTATTTATTAGAACTTCATTGAACCTCACTTGAATTTTTTTTCCCAAACTATTCTTTTAATATATAATAATTTTAGGAGGATTCAATGACCTTCTCACGTAGTACTCCGACTATTTCTAAGGAATTAAAAACAAAACGATTTCTCTCAATGACAGACAGCTTTCAACAACAAAGAAACAGTTTGTTATGTCAAGATATTTTTTCACTCATACTATCAGATACAACTTACAGCGGACCAGCAGATGGAGGTTCTCCTTTAAACGTTTCCTTTGATCGGCTGGTTTTAACGGATAGACCAGTGGGTTCAGAAGTGTCTGGTCTCTGCTGGAGGAGCCTGAAAACATAAGCAGCTCAGATAAACATGCAGTTTGGACAGAAAACTGATCTTACCTTTAATTGATGACTAGATCTCTTTTTCCATTTTTTTTAAATCATTACCTTTCATAGTCAGGATGTTTAAACGTAAGAGGAACATCCATAGACGTAAAGGACAAACAACTGGGTTCACAGCCGTGCAGCATCGGATCAATTCTGTAAGAAAGAAAGAGACTAAAGTTTAAATAAATCACAGAACTTCTCGTTGAATTGAAGACTTATATGTTAAATTTAAACATTTTGAATACTACAAAGCCCTTGAGGTCCACTAAGGTGATCATTTTTATCTTGTAAATATATCTATGATATGATAATACCATCAGTTGCCATCAATCGTCATTATTCCCCATTATTTGCAAGTTACCTTCTATTTTAACAGTGTGGATATAGTTCATTATGTATTCTTGTCAGCATTACACTGGGATTGGTATTTTGTGCAAAACACGAGCGCCCTCTGCTGGGGCCCCTGAAGACTAAACAGTCCATGTTATGTTGATATGTAATAATCTAAAATACATTAAAATCACGACATTTTCTTGGTAAAAGTACTATTCATACATGTTTCAGAGAACCTCCAAATTGAATATAGAACACTTTTGTGATAATATCAATTTGCTGTAGAGTAATTATGGCTCACCAGGTTAAATCATGGCTTCATCTTTAATTTCTGTGGTGTAGCTCACTAACAAACTGTTTTTTAAGACGAGTCAAAATCCAGGAGTAGTACACTGGAGGTGCTTATAGTTAAAGATGCACCGATCCACATTGTTTCAGTTCTGATCCGATTCCAATACGTACAGATACCGTCATTTTTATTATCATAACTAATAGGATTATTGTTGTTGTTGGTATCATGTGTAAGGCTATATAAAGTTGTAGTAAACCTGGGATTGTATACAAACAGGAAGCAGCACCAACCGTCAGGTTTTCAAATGAAATGTTTCAAACTGAAGTGTAAGAATTGTCATTTTGATCATATAGAAGGAGCTGTTCCATCTCGACTGATCGTCTTAATGTACTGTAGATTATTTGTGGACACTTCTTATAGTTCAGTAATATTTAAAGTTCTCAACGATCTTTCTTGATGAGTGACGTGGATGACGTTGATCGGGACCATCAGTCCGATATTCGATACGTAAATCATGTCAATGTTGGACCTGATCCCAATATTAGATGGTATCCGTCCCATCTCTGTTTATAGTGAGGTGTTCATGTCATTTAGCAGGATATGATATAAATCCTTGAGCTGCACTATGATATGTAAATAATGACTGAATATGGATTATAATAAAGAATGGACACTGGAGAGAGGTAACAGCACCATCCAGTTAAAAAAGACAATGTGACTCTTTATTATGGTCAATATGGTCCAGGGCAGGTTCCTATTACTGTCTAGTCTCATAATGTACAGAGCATGAGTGCATCAGCCCTGACAAGTTGTTAAGTGTAAGGTGGATAAAATCAATCACGCTGCACTAGCAGACTTTTTAATCAATTACATACAAATAGACATCTGAAAAGTGACTGCATAGAGTAAAGTGAAACAGAATGGCGTTAAATATCTTAAAGGTGCACTCTGGAGTTTTGGTAGAGAAATGTGGTAAGTGGAGAAATTTACAGATCATGTGGTATATGTTCATAACTCTATACACAAACTGTCGTCTGGAGAAAATGCGTAACACTGTTTGAAGATAAAATGCTACGTGAGAGGTTATGGTGGTGGGCCCGCAACAGTGAAACTGTAACTCTCCTGGTAGCTTTTTAGCTCCAAACAGTGTTCCAGGGACACATTTTTTTCTTTGAATAAAGTTTGTTTATTTAGTTCAGAAAATATAGCATAGAATTGTTTCACTTCTCCAACTTTTAAATTTCACTAAATCTACATAGTGCACCTTTACCCAGTAGTTTGGTTCGGGTACTTTCCTTTACATTGGGAATGTGATCACACTTGAGTCTTGACAGTCAAGAATGCAGATAAACTCGTCTCCATGCAGAATGACGTGAAATATGTTGAACAGAACATGTTGTCTTGAATGCGTTTGGTTAAACGCTGTATTTCATGTCAGGGGATTTTTTTTCCATAATGTGGTAATGTTATTCTTAAAAGCGGCAGTGGTTCGAATCTGACCGCTTCCATTTGTTGCATGTCATCCCCCACTCTCTCCCTCCTCCCAACATTTCCTGTCTCTCTTCAGCTGGCCTTTCCAATAAAGGCAAAAAATGGCCCAAAAAATATCTTTAGAGAAAGAAAAGCTACTCTTGAATAAACTCAAAGGTTGTTGGGTTCCTCGTTTTCTGAGCCCGAACATGTTTTGAAAATAGGGTTTAATTCTTTTTATATTCAATTGATTGACTCATACACATGTTTTTGTTTGGTCATTGTGACGCTTGGCCTGGCAGTTTCACTTCCTGATGTTCATCTGAGGTCACTTGCCCTGTTTTATTACAGACTGCTACACACTTCTGAGGAGATTCATGTCTTTGTTGTTGTTTTTCTCACGTCTTTCTTTTAGAGGTGGGGACATCCTCTCTGTCCTCCCTCCGATCCATACAGGAGCTCCCACCTTCACCCAAACACAACACCTGTGAAGAGAGTGTACTCATGTGACAAACATTACTCCTGTCATCAGGAGACCATATATATTTCTGGTTATTTGAGCTAAAAGAGACAGCAAACATTAACAAACTGTGTTAATCTTCTGTGTTTCAAGTAAATATTCCAGATTTAACTCCACATTTTACCAAATGTGTAAAAGTCTTCCCAGATTACAAATTATGTTTAGTTTAACATTTCCAAAGATGATATTGAAGTGTCTTATACTGTGTTAAGTCTTTTTATAAAGTGTTTAGTACTGATTGTAATGATCAGCTTTCTGTCCAACAGAAAGGCTTTGGTAATTACATGTGTCCTAATATGTCCAGAATTTGTTAAATTTAATTGATTCTAATCACAACTTTTGAAACTTGGATTTTGAATCTTACTGATATTTCTGATCAGCTTCAGATTATAACATTAAAAGTTTTTATAACAAGAAATTACACTTTAGTACCCCATGAAACTTTTTGTATCAACAATTATTTTGTAATAACTTAACATTGTACTCTTTTTCTTTCACTGTTTGCTGAGAATCTTAATTAAAGTAAATTGTTTGATCCTCGGAGGGGAAATTCAGTTTGACACTAATGTTAAGACACACACACAAAGGAAGAGAAACAAACCAGTCACAGACTGAGAATACAATTCATGTGAACACTTCATCATGAGTTTGATAACGATGAAGACAAAACACATTCACAACAGTTTCCAGAGAAAAAGAGCTGTAGTGTCACAACGAAACTTTGACATTCACAATGCCTTGAAGACGGAGAACTTCGTTTTTTACTTCTATCTCACACTAACAGGTTTCTCAACATCCTAATACAAGACCCATATCTCTCTTGATCCACTACTTCCTGTCAGAGCGTCTAATCGCAGCTCATGAAATAACCCAAAACAATCATCATCAAATGCTTCAAATAAGTGTTAGCAGAGCTGAGAATAGTTCCGCTCTTTTACTGGAGCTTCAAAATAAATCAATAAAGACAACATGAACACAGAGTCACTGAGGAGTCAAATAGAGAATCACAAACCGTAGATGAGGACAAAGCTGCGACACGATGAACACCACTTTCCAAAGTGAAACTAAACTGAGCATCACTCAGGGAGTGGCTCCCAGGTCACGGGGGTGTCAACGTCATTACCACGTCATAACAACACCCATAACAACGGTGAAGAAAACAGGAATGTCTACTGACTCCTCACTTCTTCTTCTTTTGTATTTCCAGCAGACTAGATGCCTGTCTTAAATTCAGCTCTAGATTCTGCTGACTCATGCAGGAATGGCATGATGTAGCCTTTGCATGAACATCATATATTTACCCCCACTAATCATATCTAGGCTAATTTAAATAACTGCTAACATAACATATCAAAGTATATTTTTAACTTAAAAAAGTAACAAAACAGAGTGCAACATATACATCCTGGAGGCTAAATTCTTCAACAATTCAAATAGAAAGTGTTCGTCCAAAGTCACAATTTGTAGAAGGCTACTAGCTCAAATAAATCTGCCACAATGTAGGCCTAAAAAAGCTAGCCTCAAATAGTGGGGTGTCAGCAATGGCCTGCAGGTTGTAGGTGAAGCCCCAGACCAATATATGGAGCACATTTAATAAGCAAACACAGCAGCAGAATGTCCCAGAAAGATATCACATCATGGTCAAGTTGACATGAGAAGAGACTCAAACTGCTCTCAGTGTAAATATGAATGAAAAGCTATTTTAAGAAAACCATTCAAACAGCTGTTCACATTAAAAGTAGACAATCTGCTCTCTATATACTCCATGTTTATCAACTTAATTTAACAGGCTGCTTTTCTCATTTGAGGGATAACATGCAAACAATTGTAACACGTGTAAATACTCTGACAAATGTCCGCAGCAGTAGACTTTTATCAAATGATCACAGGAGGGCCACTGATGATCTCGCTAAGTATGATACTGTGACTGTGGAAGAACAAAGGTTTTGATGAATGTTCCTGCAGTAGTGCTGCACTTTTTCCTGCTCCTGATGGCTGCAGGTGTTTCATACCTGTCATACCTATCTCATATTTTTGGATATACATAACAGGGTGATTCACTAACAAAGACCAATGTTGAAGAAAGATATTGATTTAGAACAGTTTATTGAACTACGCAGGCCAGAGATAGAAGTAATAAGTGAAGTTGGATGAAAAAAAAGAGTTTCGCTTATCTGTTCCTCTATAATGCAAACGTGTCTTTTGTTCTTTTTGTATCCGTCCATTGGTCTAACCTGCAGCCTCCTGAGTGTTCACCCTGTACGTACCCTGTATTGTCTCTCTCTGATCCTCTACAGAGCATATGTTGACCTGACTATCTCAAATACAAAAGCACGTTCGATAGCAGCTCTGCACTAACAGGAAGCGATAACAGTGGTTTGAACTTTCTTCCACTTTAACATTCAGTGTTTTCTTATCTGTGATCTAAACAACAACAAACATTTGTGTATGAAGAAAAAACTCTATAATTCACTGTAATGCAGACGGTAGCTCACATGAAAGAATTCCTTCCTACCACAGTGAATTCATGGCTGAGATATTATTCAGGTTTAAGGAAAGAAACAGACGAAACAGAAATAAAGTTCTATTAAAAAAACAATCCATGTGCCCATGAGTTGTTGTCTGTGTCTGGGTTTAAATCAGCCTCTCAAGGGCCATCCAGAGGTCTACAGAGAATTTCAGATCTGACATTTGCCTCATGGAAAATACATGTACAGAAAAGTACTCCAGGGGTTACTTGGGGAAACATCATTCCTTCTTCTCCTTTTTTCTTAATTATGGCAGCTAGCACTTGGTGTCAAGCTGCATTACCGCCACAAAGAGTTCTGCTTACCTGGTAGCCATCTTGAACGTACTGGCAGATGTGTTGCTTCATTCTAAATCAAAATGTATCAAAATTCTTTGTGCATGTGTAAACAGTCTCAAAAATGTTGCGGAGTATGAGAACATCAGTCAGGGACACTTCAATTTTCCATAATTTTTACATTATTATTATACATGAATATTCGGTTTATACATTTTCTGTCATTTGAAAACGTCTAGTATAGATTACATTATTTTTTTCCAGAATATTTTCAATTTACTCTGTTTAAATTACAAAAAAACATTCAGTCAGAGCTGGATGAGTTGTGGTAATGAGAATTTCAGCAGAAAATGCAATTAAAAACTATAATAATTAATTCTTATGTTGAAATTACTCTTTGTGCAAGGTAGAGAATATTGTTGTCTTTATTATAATATTAAGTTATATAACAAAATTTCAAACAAAGTTTTATATTTAGAATCATTACTGCCATGGTACTTTAATGGTTTCATGAGAATGACCCACATACTGTGGATATTGGACCAAAGTTTTAACCCCTTAGTAAAAAAAAGAAAAGAAACTTCTCATTGATGTCTGGGTAAATATGTCCTCACTACTTTCATGAATTCACAAATGCAAACCTGGGGGAGAGAATTCCAGCGGAAAATAGATTTTTTAGAAACAAAAACAGATACCAGTAAACAATGGCTAAAAGTGATGGAGACCTTCATGCACAAATCCAGCTTCTCTCACAACAAGAATAATATATATATTTATTGTTATTGCTTCTGCGACAACCAAATTTCTAACTGTCTGCCTGCCTGTCCTTATATCTGTCTAACTGAGGGAAGACTAAAAACGTTTTATTGTAATTGTAGAACTTTGAGATTTTTGTTCAAATGTAAAGTGTGTTATAAAAGACATGTATTATTAATATTTATTAAAACATGAGCTAAATCTTGTTAACAGTAAGAATTCATGTGAGCTGACATTGTTTGTGGTATGATGTCAGTAGTTTGGATACATCTGCAGTGTTAAAAAGCTTTCCATCAGATTCAAACGCACACAGACACTGTCTCTTTTAGTTTTCACTGTGATTCTGCACATGAAAACTGACAATAAAACATATTTCAATGAGGTGTATTTTATTCAGAAAGGACTCATGGTAGTCTGGGCTGTGTGTAATTTTATGAACAGTGTTGTACTACTCACTCTGACAGAAGGGGTTTGTTTCAGCTTCATCCTCCTCTTGGCGTCTGCTTCCCTCTGGTGTTCATGATGATCAGCTGCAACAAACACAGTGAGTGATGTATGGATACATACTGGGGTGATAATAAAGAAGCCTCTACTCTGGAAAACGGCAGCACTCATTACATTGTCACAAAGCAGACTAAAGAAACTTTGTAATGGTAAAAAAAAATCTTGTTAGAAAAAGGTTTGATGTCCTCTCCTGCCATCGACACATTCAAACTTCACTGACACACAGGAAACTTCTTTGAAAGGTTTATTACAAAACGCAAGACAATACATGTCCACTGGATTTATTCTATTGGCAAACACAATACAATGACGAACAACTTTCTATCTGGGGGTGAAGCTTTGCGGGAACCACAAACCAAACAGAAAACAAAGCAACACAACGTGGATCAAAAAAGATAACTGTGGACAAAAAGAGGAGAACAGCATCTTTAAGGCCCAAAACTGAGAGAACACAAACCGGAAGGATGAAGAGCAGGAGGGACGAGGAGGGACTTGTTTCTCATTTTTTCAGGAGGTTCATAGTGCGGACACACACTTATAAATAGGTAACATTAAATTAAGTCAAATCCAATTCACACAGTAAAATGTTATTCACAAACTCAAAGCGTTGCTGCTGTTAAGACATTTTGACAAGCAGGAAAAAAACGTGAGGGGTCGTATTTTGGCTGATTCTGTTCCAACTGAGAGGAAATAAAGCTGGTCCAAGTCACAGGATAGATCCTTCAGTTCCCACCACAGATCCAGACTTTTACTGTCATGTTGCCTAAGGGCGAATATATCACAAATTTAACATTTTAGAAACAACTTTTGAGTGTTTGTGCCTGCAAACTTGTCAAACAGCTGATAGAGATAACGTTTTTGAAGTGTCCATGTTGGTCCAGCGGGATGCCTGACGAGTCCAGATTTGTTTTTAATCTACAAAATGTGTCACATCTCACTTTTAGTTTTTGGAAACCGCTTGTTGTTTTTTCATCAACTCTTAGAATTCAATAAATTATTATTATTGTTGATAATAAGAAATGTCTAAATAATTTAGCCCAACCACCCAACCCCCCCAAAAAAAGTCTACTTTGTAAGAACAGATGGTTTAATTTGAATTTTTGTTAAGATGTTTTTTTAGTTTGAGTAAGTGCAACAACAACAAAAAAGCTTGACAGCAAAAGAGCTGTCACATCGTGTGATGTTTGTGACATAATGAAGCGTTGTTGACAATGAGGATGTTGAACGATAAAGGTATTGGTGGTGGTGCTGCTACGATATCGAGGACAGCTAAGCCTGACTAGGTGCTCTCTTGTTTTCTTTATTTAACTGGTCAATCACATTTAAATACTATTTATATTTATATATTACAACATTGTTCCAAATTCATAAATAAGAAGTGCAGTTTCTCTTTGACCTCCACAAAACCATCTGTTGGTACGTGACAAATCCAAACGTCAAACGCTGCAGATCAGTCATCAACCAAACAGCTGGAAAAACTATAAATATGGCTGACTAGCTGCAGGTTATAGTCTTCATGCAAATGTTAATGTGTAGAAACGCCAGGTCAAACCAATCAGCTCGTCCGCTTACATTTCACATTTTCAACCTTACAAAATATCAAAACTAATAAATTTTTAACCAATCAGAACAGTGCATCAGAAAGAACTTTAGCCAATCAAAATCACTCTATTAAAAAAAGCCACAAAGGAACTGGAGAAGTCACATACATGAAGACCAGCAGAGGCGTCTCTGGTCTGAGAAGAATCGGTCGTGAACCAGATCAGACCAGAACAGACGTTTACTAACAACAAAGGTGTCTCCAACTTTTGAAATTATTATTTATATTTTTTAGAATTACTATCGATGCAGAAAGATCTGGGAGGGTCTGAGGGTCAGATTGATTAGTCCATCTCCTGTAAATGTCTCTGAAACAATTTGGCTAATCCATCAACCTTGGATGTTGGTTTTGGGATGAAAAAATAAAGACAAATTAAACATTACCAGCAGTTCTATTTGATTACATGGAATCAGCTAAGTAATGCAGAATAAATCAAAATCAACTTTTTTTTTATTTGGTGATCGTAATCTTGAAGTTTTAGACCAACAAATTAAACCTTAAACAATGATGAGGTGTTATTTTCCAGATAAGATACATATCTTAATTCTGACTGAGTTATCAGATTTATTGGTGTCTTCTATGTAAGATGACACATTTATTGTAGTGAGAGACTGTACTCTGAAACACTAAGCTCCATAGAGAGAGCAACACTTTGATTTGAATGCTTTGAGGCATCTGATGTTTTTCTCTTTAAGGGCTTGTTTGGTCGTCATTCTACGATGGTGATAAGCTTTGAACATTAGTTTGGAGCTTTCTGCAGTTTTGTTGCTAATAAACATCTTGGAAAATTCAAACTGACTTTCCTCAGTCTGATCTTGGCATCACTTCTACTCTAAACGCAATCTACAGGTTTTACTGTTGTTATTTTTGTGGAGACTTCATTTCCCATAATGCTTTTTGTGCTGACTTCTGACTGTCAGCAACCGGATTAACATGTCACGGACCTGATTGCAGGTGGATAAAAGGTTGACTCTGATACACAGAAGCTCCGAGCTCTCCCCCATGCTGGCTGATGGGAAATGGAGTGTAGAGAGGGGAAGAATGAAAGCAAACAGGTCTGTGTGCAACCTAAAAGTCATGGGGGGGGAGCAGGGCAGGGCAGGGCAGGGGGTTAACACTTAAATCGAGCCCATCCTTTAGAGCAATTATTGAATGGTCAGTAATGGCCTTGTATGAATATGACCTTATATGGAGATCCCTTCGCCATATGACCATATATGGATGTCCTGCTGATATCTACACAAGCGAAGAATCAACCAGTTTCAGTCACAGAAACCTAGCTAAACAAACTGCCATGAGCATCCCAGAATCTATTCCAAACTGGTCCAAAACTGGTGGAGAACTTGCCCAGAACCTTCTCAAACTTAAACTCTACCAGAACTGCTCCCAAACGAGTCCAGAACCAGTCAGTGCTGATTCAGAACAAACCAGAAATGGTCCAGAACAGGGCCAATCCTTGTCCAGAACCAGGTGATGTCACTCAGAGTCGGACTCCAGCGGAGCAGTCTCGTCTAAGACCACTCTCTTCCGGCGCTTTACAGCCGCAGCCCGAGCCCTCTGCTCTTCCTCCAGATGAGCCTTCTTGTGGCGGGGAGAAGCTGGATGAGTGCATGAAGGTCTTGTTGCAGGCGGCACAGGTGTAGGTCTTAGTCTTGGCAGTGGGAAGCCCAGACTTGACTTGAAGCTGTTTGTGGTGCTGCTGCAGCTTCCCCCCTCCAATGCCATCCACCCTGTGGGTCTGATGATGTCGCGCTAGGCTGGAGGCGTGGCTGAACCGCTTCCCGCACTGGCTGCAGCAGTGGCGACCTGTTCCACCTCCTCCTACAACCCTCTCCTCCCCCTCAGAAATAGCAGGGCCCCGTTTGCTCGCCCTGCCCCCCCGACGGCGACGATTCTTCTTGCAGAGGGTGTAGAAGTTGGGCTTGTCGCGGGAGCAGAGCTTGAGGCGGATCTTGAGGTCGGAAGAGCTCTCACCGAGGTTCTCCTTGCCAGGCGTGTAGTTGTCCAGCAGCTCCTTAACGTGGGTCACCTGGTGTTTGGACAGCTGCGTGGATGTTCTGAAGCTCATGTCACACTGGGGGCAAGCGTAGAACTTATCTCCGCCCTGACTCTGGATGATGGCGGTCGCCACATGCTGCTGCCTCTGATGCTGCCTCTTGGTCTTCCTGACCCCAGCTTTCATAGAGTGGCGCAGTGAGGCCATGTTGGGCCCAATGGAGACATCCTTGGGGAGGCCTTTTCCTTTCTTGTGGATGAGGCGGTGGCGTGACAAGCTTGAGCTGTGGTTAAACTCCTTTCCACAGATGTTGCAGGGGTGGATCCGCCGCTTCCCATGCAGTCGCAGGTGACTCCCCAACATCCTGATGGAACACCAAAACACAACAAATAAAAATATACCTTCATGACACAGTGATCAAGAAAAATAGGAAAAGATGGCCTTTGAAAAGCTTTGATGGTTATTTCAAACCTTTACATTAAATATGTAATTCTGACACCTAGCTTTTAAAATGGGTACTGCAGTCCAAATTCAAAACTTTGGACAGCTGACCCCCCCCCCCAAAAAACCTTCTTTTGCCACAAGTTTTCCAAACGGTGTTCAGATATGTCAAACAGTGACATTCAGTATCCTGCTGTCATCAGTACAGTATGCACAGCTGTTTTACAAAATGTTTCATCAAACATCACCAAATGATTTGATAATTCACCACAAACCAGCAGAATGATTTGTAAAATATTTTCAGAACTCTATCACCAATATTTTAACTTTTAGAAGCATAACAGTTTACTTTCTTTTTTTAAATTTTCTCTGATAAAACAGTTTTTGCATCATTAACCTGAAGACAAAGAAACAATGTTGATTACAACTCATTAGTAAAAAGAAAATCAAGAGATTGTCTTCTTGATATTCAAAAAAAAAAAAAAAAAGTGGGTTTCTGGGATGCTTGTTTACTGCCTTGCAGTAAGAGCGTGCGCCCCATGTGTGGAGACTACAGTCCTAGCTGCCGTCCCACGCTCGGGTCCTACCCAACTCTCCTCTCCCAGCATTTACTCTTCACTGAAGAGATTTGATATTTCCTCAATAGAAACAGGGTGTCGGTGAGGGGCTGCTAGTGGAGCTGCCTGCTACGTAAATGTATGTCGACTGATTGAATTTTTGTCAACAGATTCCTCACCATATTCAGTGTCTTTTTGTGGCAGTTGTCACAGTCTCTGCTTGGTGATTGGCTGTTAGATCTATCCACATCAAGTAAGAATGTCCAGGTTTATCCTTGTTATTGACGCAAATTCATCACAATCCCCACTGTACATTAATCATCCAGCCCTAACTGGAAGTGCATTAGGAAAGTCTCTATAAACAGTTCCAGTTGTTCTAAACACTAGAACTATGACATGGGCAGAGAAAACCCCTTGATGTGATCATATAATCATCTGAATAAATAAAAGGAAATATTTTGCAGTTTGGTTGTTGGTCAAACAAACACAAACCACTGACCGACTGAAGTTGTTCAGTTTTGACTCATATCTCTAAACTGGTAAATACAGACCTGCTTCCTTTGAAGCTCATCCCACAATGAGGACAGGTGTAACGTGAATCCTGGTGTGTCGGCTCTAGTGCCCGTTTGGTCGGGGGCGCTGGTCCAGTGCTCTTCCCAGTGTGGGTCTGCTGGTGGCGGTACAGGCTTGAGGCGTGACTGTAACACTTCCCACAGTAGCTGCAGCGGTACTGTCGCTCATCCGGCTCAAAGTCGGCCTGGTCCGAGTCCAACTCGCCATCAAGCCGGCTGCTCCCCGCCTCCACAAGCACCTCCTGCTCCTCTTCGGTGTCCTCCTCATCTTCATCTGAGTCTGTCTTTATCTCCACACTCTGCTCTGTCACCTCACAGGGGTACACCTCCTCATATGGAGCGAAGAAGGCTTCATCCGTCTCAATCTTAAGATGTTCAGCAGTCAGGTCTGATGGATCATCAGAGTCCTTCTTCACACAGGAGATGGTGAACTTGGAGCCGACCTCAGCCCACTTCACCACGTACTCAATGGGCTGGGTGTCCAACTCCACAGTGATGAAGTCTGCACCCAGGGCGTCCGACTCCGAAACCACCAGCTCTGTTTCAGAGTCCTCCATCCTATAACAAGTCTGGGTGGAGGGGCTGGAGATTCAGGGGAGCAGCTACAGGCCTGAAGAGGACATAAGAAAAGAAAACAAAAGAAAGAACAACGATTAGAAAAAAAAAGGAAGGAAAAAAGAAGAACAAGAAAAATTAAGATAGAGATGCAGAAAAGACAGAGGAGGACTTATAAGAAGAATATAAATAAGTACAACAAGAAGTGGGAGAATAACCAGAAAGATTAGAGAAGGAGGGGAAGATGTATAGAAGAGAAAGAATAAAGTAAAGAACTTGTAAGAATAATAAGAACAAGAGGAAAAAAGATTTTTAAAAAAGAGGAATACAAAAAAAGAAGACAACTAAGACTTTGAAGAAGAGAGGGTGGAACGTGAAAACAGGGTAAACGTGTTGTGTCAGAGGCGGCTGTGGATCAGTGGTAGTCAGTAGAGTCGGGGGGGGGTTCGATCCCCAGCTCCATGCCAAAGTGACCTTGAAGACACTGTACCCCAAGTTGCTCACACTGCTGTGTCAGCTGTGTGTGAATGTGTATGAATGAGGTAATATTGATGGACACTTTACACAGCAGCCTCTACCATCAGTGTGTGAATGTGGTGTGAATGTGTAGGTGTGAACTGCGGTGTAAAAAGCACTGAGTAGTTAGAAAACTAGAAAAGTGCTTTACAAGCTCAAGTTCATTTACAGTGTTCTCAAAATAACTACTTCATTTGATTCTGAAACTACAAATGTTGATGTCTGAACAGAAACAGTAGAATATCTGATGCTGCACGCACTACCATCATCATAGGAGGTTATGTTTATATAAAGTACAAACCTTTCACTGATTATTTTCCTGATGATATTCTTAAAGAGATATAAGGATTCTGAGCAGAGGGAAGATTTAATTTATAAAATGTGCTGGTTTCTAACTGTTTTTAATGACATAAAACAATGCCAGAAGCAGAAAATCTGCCCTTTGAACAGTTTATCTCTCTGTCATTGTTTCCCTGTCTGCTTTAGGTCAAATCCATTCTTCAATTTCACACAGCAGATCATCCACATACTTAAAGAATGATGAATGCAAAGCAACTATTAAACACTTAGGATTATGATTTTATTGTTTGGTCCAAATTTACACTCATGGCATAGCAGATTAAAAAATGTATTTATAACTGATCAAATACAACGTTTTTTTCACAGATTATTTTCATAGGCATTCTTGCCATTATTTGTCAGTGACAGCTCATAGACAAGAAATGTGCGAAGAGGGAGTGGGGTAGATGTGCACCAATGGCCGAGGCCAGGAATCAAACCAGCAATCAGTATATATATATACTGAGGTCTGTGGCCTCTGAACATGGGGCACTTGCTCATTCAACCGGTACCCTGAGGGGTCAAATGAAACTTTTAAGAGAAACTGTACTTTTAATAACTCAGAAACTGGAAAGATAGCCTTACAGTAGGACAATTTCAGACCCAAATCCCTTTCATAAATACACAATCCCCTTGGATGGTACCCTGACTTCAGCTACAGGAGCTGCATGAGAGAACACATGTTTGGACCTCGAATATACGGATTCAAGAGTGATAGATCCACAGTGATGTCGACACGCCCGTAAAAGGTCTGTTTTCAGTGATGTCATGGCAACTAATAATGACAGGTGACCTCTGAACTGTTGTCAATCAACATGAAATGACATGACCTTTATATAAGCTTAATAAGGTGCGAAATACAAAATCATTTTGGAACTACCACAGATATATAAAAAATATAGCTGCACTGAGGCGCTTAAATTATTTATTTTTCACGGCCAGACTAGCACGCCGAACTCCGTTCAAATAACTGCCTACTCGCCGGTAGCCCTCTGGAGAACACATAGACCTTTGTGTTTCGGCAAACTCTTCTTTTCCTCTTCAAACTATTATGCATAAAATAGATCAAGATGCATTTGATCCTTATTGAATATCGAAATAAATGAGAGATGTCCACATTAGAGCCGAGTTGACTTCCCACTTAAAATCCCGGGGAGGGCGGTTGCTGGCAGGGCATCCATTACAATAGATGATATTTTATTCAAATTAAGATCTTAGTAAAGGTTATATGGAAGCCGAAATTGTAACAATGATGATTTGTTTCGTAAAATATCCGAACCCGTTTTTAATGTTTAATGTGTTCGCCGTTAAGGCAGAAGGATTTAAACAGTGTAGTTTTTGAGCGGAGTTCCGGGCTCGGCCGGGCTCAGTGTCAGTGATGAGGAAGCAGAGGAGGGATTTACTGTCCCCGAACCTTAACTGTCAAAATAAAAGGCCAAAACGTTGTAATAAACGACGTTAACCATAACTGGCAGGGATATGTTTTGGAAATTTGGTCACTCACCGAGCTTACGGCGGGGGCACGGCGGCGTAAACGTTAAAATTTCACCGGTGGAGACGGTCACAATAAACAGGAAGCTGGGGACGTGGAAACAAAGCATTGTGGGGAAAGGATTATATGGTGGCGAAGACCGGAAAAACGGTGGATTGTCTTTCAAAATAAAATAAAATAACAAAAAATGTTATATGAAGGCTGAAAACCATACCAAAAATAAGCTTTAATGTTAAATACAAAGTTAAATATTATGTAAATACGGCCAATTTATTTTAACTATGAAAATAAGATACCATAAATTTAAGATTATGATGTTGAATCTTAAAAATACAAAAAATTCTAGTTTTTTAATGGACTATTAGCCTGTGATGGTATGGTGAGTTCGAATCAACCACTTATATAGAACAGGCCTCTTTATAGCAAATTTGGCCTCTTGTATTTCTAAATCAGTGTAAGTGATCATTTTCAAACTATAGCAAAGTTGTTATACAGGAACAAACAGATATTCATTTGTCTTTGGTGTGTGATACTACAAACTGCTACTGGATGCTTTGAATTTCCCTCTGGATCAATAAAGTATCTGTCTATCTATCTATCTATCTATCTATTAATCTACTTGGCCCTAAGGGGCCCCCTATACTATGACATAAGGTCAAAAATAAAGCAAGCCTATCCCTACAATTGCTAAAGTGGGTAGTTCCACCTAGGTCTAGTTTCAGGTTGATGCCCACTTAAAGCTTCATTAAAGTACAAGCAAAGTTTCAGTAAGTCCTCTGTTATATCTCAGTAGAGTCACAGAGAGGTCTCAGGTACATCTCATTAAAGTCAGAGAAAAGTCTTGGTGAGCTCAAAGTAAATTTATTTGAATTAGAGAAGATAGGGGAGGATTGATTCATCCTCCTGAGAAGAACAATAAATACAGTGATATCATCAGTTATATGACAAAATAATCTACTACTGCTACTACTAATACCATAACAGCTACAGTAACTTGTGTTCTCACTACAGATACTAGAACTGCTATAGTTTCAGTTGTAGAGTTCCCTGATTCCACAAAGCTTCAAAAATGTCTCACTCGTCAGTCTTATGTCTGTCATCACTTCTGTGAGAATTTCACTGTTTCCACCTGCTAAAACAGTGATGACGATGATGATAATGGTGATTAACTTGCTGTCTAATTTATTTCTGAAGATAAATATGTCTTCCTTTTTCTTATATTATTTTATTTAAATCATATTATTGTATTAAGTATTAATAATGTATATTAACAAAATAAAGTATGCAGGTGGAATACAGAAATTGAGCAGAATGTGCATGTTTCTGATTGATCACTGTCATGTTTTGATAAAAAGTTATATAACTTTTTTTAAAACATTTAAAAATTAAAGACAATCAGAAAGGCTCCCACACACTGCCTCACTTTTTGCTGACATATTTATTTGATCATTCAACGTTTCAGTCTAACTGCATGACCTTCATGGGGTAGACATAGCGGTTAGACCGATGCACCTGTCACACATTAAGGTGTGCAGAGACATTTTCATCATTTCAATATAACAAATGAGAATTAGAGAATGCACTTTCTGAAGAAGATGAAATGTGAAAAACTTGAATACTGGGTTCAAAGGTTGAAGAATATTGGTAATGTTACAAGGATATAGAATATGGTAAACAACGAGATGAAACAAACTGCATAGGTTTGTTAATGCCTGTAAACTAGTCTGTATATCTTCAGAGTGTGAGAGAGTGCCTGAGATCCAGATGGCAAAGCTTTACTAATTGGTGGGAGCTAAACTGTATAGTTGTATTCATTGCAGGGGTCCAAATGCATTACCCTAACCCTAACCCTTTAATGGCTGGTAGACTAACTAGAAAGCTCTATTAACTGCTGGGGGCCGCACTGCACTGCTAAATTGATAACTGGAAGCTAAACTACATAACTGGATATATGGCTCGGAGCTACATTGCATTGCTTTAATGATGGGAGCTCAACTGCATAATTCAATATATGGTTGGGAGCAACACTGCATATAGCTTTCATGATAACAAGGAGCTTTGCTGCTTCCTTTAAGTCAATCTGAATTTCTCTCTATATAGGCGGATATCTACAGATAATATTGCTGTGAGGTGTATTCTACCAACAGACCAACCAAAAAAATCTCTGCATCAACTTTTTCCGTGAGTGAAATCTAGAATTGTGCTGTTACAAATGAACATTTATTAGCAGGTTTCTGTTGTAGCTCGCTTGTGAGCATGTCAATGTCATCACATAAAGACTTGATAATATGGTGTTTGCTAACCCTTCGTTTCTCTCCAGCATCACCCTCTTGCAAAGATGGTCTCTTCTGGTTCCAGAAAACCAACATGATGCCCAACTTGAGTGTTAAAAGGGGCAGTTGACAAACCAATGGATGGCTAACGTTAAGGTAGTTACCTTCATTATTTATACAGAAATGTCCAGTAAAAACTGAGGTTTTAAAATGTGATTGTATGAGTGAATGACATGAAGAGGGGAGGGGAGTCATTTGGAAAAGTCCCAAATATAAAGATCTTCTTCAAGTTTAAATGGAGCCCCGACGTGGAATATTTTTGAGATATAAAAGTTATGACTGAGAAGGTCCTAATTCAGTATCCTAAATTGATGTGCAGTAAGGTAAAGTAGGCCTGTTTGTTGTTAAACATGTGGATCTTGTTAATTGAAAAACAAAATAAAACAACAACAGGAAACATTAAAATAAGAAATTTAGAGCACAAAGAAATATAATATGAATGGAAGGTGTAAAAGATGAAGAGGAGGAGTAAAGGATAAAGAAAAACAGGAACATGAGAAGACTGAGAGGATGAAGAGCAGAGGATGACAGGGAGATGATGAAGAGAAGGTGGAGAAGATGATTAGGATGCAGAGGAGACAATACGGGATGAGCATGAATATGTGAAGAAATCAAAGTATAGATGAAGAGGATCACAAGGATGAGAAGCAGTAGATATCCGGGCCTTCTACAGAGTGACATTCTCCCTGGAAACGGCGCGCTACGTGATAAACCTTTCCGACTTGATTTCGGTATTTCCTGAAATTGGTCTCGATGAGACTCGGTGGATACCTGCGTTGACTCTGGGTGGTTGTCGAGTCACAGCCGATTTCCATCTAACACACACACACACACACACACACACACACACACACACACACACACACACACACACACACACACACACACACACACACACACACACACACACACACACACACACACACCGCCAATTCAACCAGCCTCGTTTTAATCTCGCTCCAGTCACGGAAATTACGTTCACTGCAAACACTTACGCTTCAATCCGGAACAGATGGATGAGATCTGGAGTCAGTTCTGGTTCTATCTGCTGCACCTCAGTCACATGCCAGCCGGAGAGCAGCGGCAGCCTGTCGGCTAGCAACCGCTGCAGCGACGTCCCTGATACGGAGCGGCACGGAGCGGCAAGTCACCGGGAAGGGTGGAAGCATAGGGTGGAAGGCAAACCGCGGCCCAGATGCGGCAGGCGGCGGACCGTCCAGATCCTCTCCGTCATGTGATTGGTTGATCTGCTGCGCAGCCTTTTCGTTGCATAAAATCTGATTGGACGGCGCAATGACAACCCACACTTTACCTTCAGATGTCGCGAGGTGTCGTGAAGCTTCAGAACAACCTGTTTCTAATGGAAGGGGTACGAAATGTTTTTATTTATTTATTCTGTATTTATGACGGTAGGGTGAATTACTGGTAAACAATCCATCATTCATCACTGGAGTTACGGTATGTGTGCACAAGCTAAACGATTAGAACTCAACTAAGAATATTCTCGATTGGTATAGAACTTCTTTGAAATATCACAGATTATCTCACATACTGGAACAGAACAGAACAGAATAGAACAGGATAGAATAGAACAGAACAGAATAGAACACGATAGGATAGAACATAATAGAATAGAACAGGATAGAATAGAAATAGAACAGAATAGGATAGAATAGAATAGGATAGATCAGGATAGAATAGAACAGGATAGAATAGAAAAGGGTAGAATAGAATAGAACAGAACAGAACAGAATAGAATAGAACAGAATAGAATAGAATAGAATAGAATAGAATAGAACAGAACAGAACAGAACAGGATATAATAGAATAGAACAGAATAGAACAGAACAGAATAGAATAGAATAGAATAGAATAGAATAGAATAGAATAGAATAGAATAGAATAGAATAGAACAGGATAAGATAGAATATCATAGAATAGAACAGAACAGAATAGGATATAATATAATATAATAGAACAGGATAGAATAGAATAGAATAGAATATAATAGAATAGGAGATTTGTTTCTACAAAATCGTTGTTTTGTATGGCCTAATGAATAAAGCTTCGACTCACTTTCTACTGTCAAATGAAGTTATCATTCAGGAACTCAGATTCATGTCCAATACTTCAAGTAAACAAATGATTCAATCTATTCGTTCATTTTGGCTTCAACAAAATTAATACGTTACAGAATTTGATCTCAGTGATGTAGGCCTAACAGTGTTGTCGTGATTGTGACAAAATCTCTTTATTTTAAACTGGAACATTTAGTGAAGAGGAATAGGGTTAAATGAACAACAATAATAATAATAATAATAACTTTATTTATATAGCACTTATCCAAAGAAGGTTACAAAGTGCTTTACAGAATGCATTCAATCAAAATAAATAAAACGTACATTAAAAGTGCTTCACAAGATACACAGGATAAAACATTGGTGAGAATTATGAATACAAGTTGATTAAATTAATTAAAGCAGGACATGAATTACTCATCAATCTTTAAAAAGGCCTTCCTATACAAAATTATTTTGAGCAAGGATTTAAAAATAGGAACAGAGTTTGCCAGCCTAATTTCTACAGGTAGAGAGTTCCAGAGATTGAAAAACAACATAATTCCTTCAATCTAAATGATCATTAAGGAAATCAAAAAGGAAAAATTCTGCTAAACGAGTAGGATAGTCCTTACATTTGAGGTAAAATAGTCCAGCCTGGAGGAGACAAAGGCGTGGACGAGTTTCGCAGCATCTGAGAGGGAGAGTGTAGGACGGAGTTTGGCAATGTTTCTGAGGTGGTAGAATGAGTTTTTGCACAGATGTTTAATGTGGGCTTCAAAGTTCAGTTGAGGGTCCATTTTGATGCCGAGATTTGTGACGGTTGGAGAGAGGTGGATGACTTGGCCAGAAAAGGTGATGGTGGTTATGGGGGATGACGTGATCTGGTGTGGGATGCCAAGTAGAATAGCTTCTGTTTTGGAGCTGTTTAACTTGAGAAAGTTGTTCTTCATCCACGCCTCTATCTCCTCCAGGCAGGTGGTCAGTGTCGATGATGGCAGGGGTGCAGAGGGGGTTTGATTTGTTTTTAGGTATATTTGAGTGTCATCAGCATAACAATGGAATGAAATTCCATGTTGGCTGATGACGCGGCCAAGGGGTAGCATGTAGATATTGAACAGGGTGGGGCCGAGGACTGATCCTTGAGGGACACCGCAGGTGACAAGGTGAGTCCGGGATTTTTTGTCTCCAAGGGAGACATGTTCGGTTCTTTCAGTGAGGTATGAACAGAACCAGTCTAGGGCTGAGTCAGAAAGACCGATGACAGAGTGAAGGCGGTTGAGGAGGAATGGCGTGATCGATGGTGTCAAATGCTGCTGTCAGGTCGAGGAGAACGAGGAGAGATGGAGAACCAGCATCAGCTGCCATCAGCACGTCATTTGTGACCCTGACCAGAGCTGTTTCTGTAGGTAGAGTGGAAACCAGACTGAAATTTCTCAAATAGTTTGTTGTGTTGTAGATGGTCATGAAGTTGAGCTGCAACTGCTTTTTCCAGCACTTTGGAGATAAACGGAAGGTTGGAGATGGGCCTGTAGTTGGCAAAGACATCTGGATCTAGGGTGGGTTTTTTGAGAAGTGGTGATATGACAGCAGTTTTCAAGGCAGATGGAACATGGCCAGTCTGTAGGGAGTGATTTATGACTTTGGTGATGAGGGGACTTATGGCAGAGATGTTTGATTTGACCAGGGCTGTGAGAAAGGGATCCAAATTGCAAGTGGAAGGTTTAATTTTTTTGATGATCTCCTCAGTCTCTCGCTGTGTAATTGCAGAGAGGCAGCAGAGAGGCTGGGTGGTCCCCGGCTGTGGGTCGGCAGTCGGGACAGGTGGAGAGGCAGAGCTGAAGAGGAGAGAGCGAATGGTGTCAACTTTTGTTCTGAAAAAGTCCACGAAATCGTTGCACCGCTCCTCTGTGGTGACTGAGAGGAAGGGGGTTGGTGGATTTAGGAGATGGTTTATGGTGGAGAAAAGTTGCTTTGAGTTGCCGGAGCTATTATTTATGATATTTGAGTAGAACTGTGACCGGGCATTTCTGAGGGACTTTGAGTAGGCTTTTTGGTGTTCCCAATATGCTAGCCTGTGCACAGTGAGTCCTGAGACCTTGAGACGCCATTCAAGGACACGACCAGTCGCCTTCATTTTCCGCAGCTCGGAGGTGTACCAGGGGGCTGAGCGTGGGAACGTGGCTGTACTGGTTTTGAGAGGGGCGTGGAGATCCAGGAGACTGTTTAGGGATTTGTTGTAAAATTCCACTGCTTCAGTGGTTGATGAGAAGTTAGCAGAGGAGAGATGTTGAAGATCTAGTGTTAGTGAGTCCGGGTTGATGTTTTTTAGATTTCTGAAGTGAATCTGGAGCTTGGGTTTGGTGAGAGCAGACTGGAAAAGCAGCTCCATTGGAATAGGACCTACTTTCTAGCTTTTACTATGGTTGACTTAATTTGTATACTGAATATCCCCTCGCGGGATTAATAAAGGATAAATTATTATTATTATTATTATTATTATTATACTTTTACTCGTGGGTAGGCAGGAAGTGACATCACATGTTGACTGAGCTACAGGTTAAGCTCTGGATTCATATGGACATGGAGTTTAATAAACTGTAAATTCACTATATAGGCCTATGTCACTAATTATTTTCTATAATATGTAAGAAGTGTTTAGGGACATGGTTTGGTAGTGTTCATTGAAAATCTGCTGAAACAAGATGTTTGACCTTTGCCCTCAAGAGTGGGGCCCTTTGTCCTTTAAGACTGAACAACCTATTTTTTATATCATAGCTAATAGCTTAGATACTAATAGTATTATTGTTAAACTTATATTGAGATTGGTTGAATTATTCTTAATTATTGACTATTAATGCATATTAGAGTGCAATCTGATTTTCTGTGTATTTCCACCAGAGGGCGCCACCACACTAATACATATCTTAGTTTATGATAGTGAGCTATGAAAGTGCATATTTGTCCTGCTTGTTTTCTAGAGGTGATATTATGTTGTCCTCTAAGGTTAACGTAGATCAACAAAGATGTACTTGAGCATTGAAATCAAGCCATAAGCAGAAGGTGAAGAATACAAAGACAACAATAAATAAACACTTTTAGAGTAGAACAAACCAAGGCCCACTATTTATTTCTCTTTTTTTATTCCTATCTCTACTATTATTGTTTTTTGTTTGTTAAGTCAGTCTGCTCGGTTGCTTTTCATCACCTTTCATTTTATTGTTGTTATTTTATTTATTTTTTCCATTTTTCTAATTCTTTTCTGTCGTAGGATGAGCTACCAGAAATATACATCTGTGTAGAAAAAACGACTAAATATTGAAGTGCATCTTCTATACTAACCATATGAAAATGTATGTTTTTTATTTTTCAAAACTATCACATGAAAGTATTAAAACAAAAAATGATGTCCTCTTAATGTACGGGAACTATCCACATCCTTCTTTATCATTTTCAGCTGTATATTATCAATGAATGTGTTATCATCACAAGCCCCCCCCCCATTATGTAGTTTCAATCTTTAGACATCTGACAGAACTGAATCCATATAAACCTTTAAAAAAAGAGGTGTGTGTGTGTGTGTATAAGATGTCATCATAACACAGCTGAGTCCCCTGATCCCTATAGCCTTGTGTTGTAAGAGATAAATCAGAAGTACACAAACACAGCTATGTTCACTTACTGTGTACCAGGTTAGGGTCAAAGGGCACAGAGCTTAGCAGAAGAGGTGAGTACATGTTGACATGTGATTGAAAAATCTAAAACATTATTGATCTTCAGTCATTTCAAAACAGTTATCAATATACCCTGTTTCCAAACGGTTGGGACAAGAATGTAGAATGTGGTTTATCATTGTCTTTCTGGAATAATTAAGGCTCCCTAAAGGGAAATTGATGATTTGTCACCATATGACCCTTCAATGGTTCATCATCAATAATGCCTTCACATGAGTGTAGGTTGATGGTCTTGAGCTTGTATATTTCTTTTCTAGTCTTTTGACTACTCAAAGGGCTTTTAGACCACAGGTCACACATTCACACACTGATGGCAGAGGTTGTTCATTAAAGTGACCATCAGAGGTAACTAATCCCATTCACACACATTCACACACCGCTGGTGAAGCAGTG